TAAATCCCAGCATAAATACCTGAGCCTAACTATAGCTTCATGAGGCCTGGTTTAACTTCCTGAGTTTAATTCGAGTTTGATGAGGTCGAGTTTAACTTCCTGAGCCTAACTTGAGCTTGATAAGGCCCATTGTAACTTCCTAAGTCTAACTTGAGCTTGGAGAGGCCCACTGTAACTTCCTAAGTCTAACTTGAGCTTGGAGATGCCCAGTGTAACTCTCTGAGCCTAACTTGAGTTTGGTGAGGCCCCGTGTAACTTCCTGAGCCTAACTTGAGCTTGGTGAGGCCCAGTGTAACTTCCTGAGCCTAACTTGAGCTTGGTGATGCCTAGTGTAACGTCATGAGCTTCACGAGCTTGCTCAGGCTCAATGTAACTTCCTGAGCCGAACTTGAGCTTGGTGAGGCCCAGTGTAACTTCCTGAGCCTAACTTGAGATTGGTGAGGCCCAGTGAAACATCCTCAGCCTAACCTGAGCTTGGTTAGGCTCAGCGTAAATTCCTAAGCCTAATTTAAGCTTGGTGAAGTCCAGTGTAACTTCCTAAGTCTAACTTGAGCTTGGTGATGCCTAGTGTAGCATCCTGAGCCTAACGAGCTTGTAGAGGCCCAGTGTAACTTCTTAAGTTTATCTTGAGCTTGTTTTGTCCCAGTGAAACTTCCTGAGTCTAACTTGAGCTTGGTGAGTCCCAGTGTTACTTCCTGAGCCTAACTTGAGTTTGATGAGGCCCAGTGTAACTTCTTGAGCCTAGCTTGAGCTTGGTGATGCCTAGTGTAACTTTCTGAGCCTAACGTGAGTTTGGTGAGGCATAGTGTAACTTCCTGTGCCTACCGTGAGCTTTGTGAGGCCCAGTGTACCTTCTTTAGCCTAACTAGAGCTTGGTGGGGCCCAGTGAAACGTCCTGAGCCTAACATGGGCTTTGTGGGGCCCAGTGTAACTTCCTGTGCCTAACATGAGCTTGGTGGGCCCCAGTTAAAATTTCTGAGATTAATTTGAGCTTGGTGAAGCCCAGTGTAACTTTCTGAGTTTAACTTGAGTTTGATGAAGTCCGTTTTAAATTCCTAAGCCAAATCTGAGCATAATAAGGCCCAGTGTAACTTCCTAAGCCTAACATGAGCTTGGTAAGGCCCAGTGTAACTTCCTGAGCCCAACTTGAGCTTGGTGAAGCCCAGTGTAACTTCCTAAGCCTAACTTGAGCTTGGTGAGGCTCAGTGTAACTACCTGAGTCTTACTTGAGTTTGATGAGGTCAAGTGTAACTTTCTGAGCCTAACTTGAGCTTGATAAGGCCCAGTGTAACTTCCTAAGTCTCACTTTAGCTTGTTGAGGCCCAGTGAAACTTCCTCAGCCTAACTTGAGCTTGATCAGGCCCAGTGTAACTTCCTAAGTCTAACTTGAGCTTGGTGAAGCCTAGTGTAACTTTCTGAGCCTTTTGAGCTTGGTGAGGCCCAGTGTAGCTTCCTGAGCCTATCTTGAGCTTTGTGGGGCCTAGTAAAACTTCCTGAGCCCACCTTGAGCTTGGTGGGGCCCAGTGTAACTTCCTGAGCCTAACTTGAGTTTGACGAGGCCCAGTTTAACTTCCTGAGCCTATCTTGAGCTTGATAAAGCACAGTGTAACTTCCTAAGTCTAACTTGAGCTTGTTGAGGCCCAGTGTAACTTCCTAAGCCTAACCCGATCTTGATAAGGCCAGTGTAAGTTCCTGAACACAGCTTCAGCTTGGTAAGGCCCAGTGAAACTTCCTGAGCACAACTTGCGCTTGGAGAGGAGTGACACAGCACAGCCTGACCTATGTCCACCTCTGCCCACCCACTGCTGATCTGATAGGATATTATTGGCCCTTATTCCTCACTCTACCTCACCCTACTCCAAGACTCCATCCCACTACCTCAGCCCTATATAAGTTCCTGCTGTGGTTCAATAAAGTGAGTTCCTGCTTCGACAGACTCCTGACTCAGTGTGGTGTTTTTCCCTTGTGCCCGGGGGGTGGTCTGGGTCATCAACACTCACCATCCAGCTCAGCCCCAGGGAGAGACCAGCAGGACTGGCTCTGCCTCTGCCCTATCTGCTGGAGAACCCTGCAATGGTAGATCTATTTATGACTTTTCATGTAACTTCCGCCCTGATTTCAATCAGTGTGGCTATACCAGATTGCTCTCCCACTAGCAATGAGTAAGTTTCCTCGTTTCCCACTTCCAAGTCAATATTTGTCATCATTTGCTTTTTGATTTTTAATATAGCCATTCTGACATGGATAAACTGAAATCCCCAAGTAATTTTCAGTTGTGTTTCCTTGATGATGAAGGATGTTGAGCATTTTTAAAAAGGTTTCTCAGCCATTTGTGTTTCATCTTTTGAGAACTATGATGGTTTGAATAAAAGGACCCCCATTGGCTCATAGATTTTAATGCTTAGTCACCAAGGAGTGGAATTGCTTGAAAGGATTAGAAAGATTAGGTGTGGTCTTGTTGAAAGAGGTGTTTTTCTGGGGATAGGATTTGAGGTTTCAAAACCCCAAGTCAGGCCCAGTGTCTCTATTTCTCTTTATACTTGCAGATCAGAATGTAGAACTCTCAGCTACTTCTCCAGCACCACACCTACCTGCCACCATGCTCTCTGCCATGATAATGGACTAAGCCTCTGAAACTATAAGCAAGCACCAGTTAAATACCTCCTTTCACAAGAACTGCCTTGATCATGGCGTCTCTTCCCAACAATAGAATAGTGTCTAAACAAGGTATCTGTTTAGTTCTATATCCCACTTTTAAATTGTTTTCTTGATGTTCAATTTTTTTTAGTTCTTGATATATTTTTGATACCAGCCCTCTACCAAATGCATAATTGGTAAAGATTGTTTTCCATTCTGTAGGCTGCCATTTTGCTGGAATGAAGGTGTCAGGTGTAAGAGGTCCTTCTGTATTTGTGTTGCTTTCATTGGTTATTAAGGAAACTGCCTTGGCCTAGTTGACAGGGCAGATCTCATAAGTGGGGAAGACAGGACAGAATTTTGGGAAGAAGGATAAAGTGGTTTTCCTGCCTGAGATGGACATTATTTAGACTCATGCCGGTAAGCCACAGTCAAGTGGCGATACATATTAATGAAGATGGGTTAAACTAATATATGAGAGTTAGCCAATAAGAGGCTAGAGATAATGGGCCAGACAGTGTTTAAATGAATACAATTTCTGTGTGGTTATTTTGGGCTAAGCTAGCTGGGCAGCAGGACACAGCCTGCCACTCCTCTATACTACAAGTGTCCTTTGGTATGTAGAAGCTTTTTAGTTTTATGTTATCATATTTATTAATCATTGGTTCTAATGACTGTGCTATCAGTATCCTGTTCAGAAAGTAATTTCCTGTGATAATAACTTCAAATCTTTTCCTATTTTCTCCTCTATCAGGTTCAGTGTATCTGGTTTTATGTTGAAATCCTTGGAGTTGAGTTTTATGCAGGTTGATAAGTATGGATCTATTTGCATTCTTTTACATACAGCCGTCCAGTCTTACCAGCATTGTTTGTTGAAGATGCTCTTTTAGTCTCTTTGTCAAAAATCATGTGGCTGTGGGAGTGTAGACTTACATGTGGGTCTATTTTTTATTCCAATGATGAATATGCCTGGTGTTTACACTCATGCTGTTTTCGTTGCTATATTTCTATGGTATATCTTGAAATCAGTGATACCTCCAAAAGAATGTGTGTGTGTGTGTGTGTGTGTGTGTGTGTGTGTGTACACATTTAATATCAGAAGCAATAAGTGATCAATTTCAACCTGTAGATGAGCTAATCTCTTCAAAATCTTCCTTATTCAACAAGACTAAAGTCACCTGAGGCCCCATTTAATTGTAATGTTTCCAAAGTTGTTTTCTTGGTTTGGTTTGGTTTGGTTTTTGGTTTTTTGAGACAGGGTTTCTCTGTATAACAGTCCTGGCTCTCCTGGAACTCGCTTGGTAGACCAGGCTAGCCTCAAACTCATGGAGATCCACCTGCCTCTGCCTCCAAAGTGCTAGGATTAAAGGCATGAGTTACCATCACCTGGCTCTTAGTTGTTTTCTTAATGAGTCATTTAAATTTATTTTATGTGTGCAGAAGTTTTGCCTGCACGTGTCTATGCACCATGTGCATGTCGTTCCTGTAGCAGCCAGAAGAGGGCATTAGAGCCTCTGAAACTGGAGTTACAAATGGTTGGAAGCTGCCATGTGGGTTCTGGAAAACAAACCAATTCTTCCGCAACAGCAGCAACTGCTCCTAACTTCTGAGTCCTCTCTCTAGCCCTGCTTAGCTATTTATATATGTTTTAAAAAAAGAGAGAGAGAGAAATCAAAATCATTGCAGACATTTATTTTAGGAAAACAACAAACTAACATAATATATTGGGAGAGGGACTAAATCAAGAACATTTCTTAAGTGCTTAACATTTACTTTAATCATATCTACCTGCGTATATGCAATATGCAGAATGCTGAACACAGCCCCAGATGCTCGAGGGTCCTGAATCATCTGAAAATAGCCTTTTATTTTCCCCCATTTTAGTTTTAAGTTGATTAACAAGAGTTAAAAACTAAAAGATTTCTGGATGCCTCTTGACAACCATTAATCTAACCAGGAGTTTGCTCACCCCAAGTGTTTGGATTTATAGAAGAGTTACTCTAAATGGGTGAGCTGATTTTTAGGATAGTGAGTCAAGCCACGGAGTGTGTCCACTACAGCAGGCAACAACCTACACATTCCCAACTACTGGTACAAGAGGAATTTTTCCAGTGGCTCTGGAAGCCCTAGCTGGCAGATGGCTTGATGACATGCACGGCCCAAGCACTTCCGGACACACAGGCGGCAGAGCTGAGAAAGAGCAGGTGGATCTAGGAGAGGGAATAAAAATGGCATGAGCCTCACGGTGGGGTGGAAAAGGAGATTTGACTACTGTAGGCTTAGCTGAATGGGGTAGGAATTACCAAATGATGGTAAGTGCTCCCAGCAGAGGATTCTGTGCTGCCCTTTTGTAGAGGGCGTCCTTTATTGATCCTTCCGCAGTGACTGTGTTATTGAACGCAGGCTCGGAAAAAGTGTGGATCTACAGCAAGTCTATCTCACTAGCTATTGTCTGTGCTAATGGACGTGATAGGCTGGCTGAAGTGGAAAGCACTGGGGTTCAGAGCCCTAAGAGAGCTTCAGGACAGAGGGCCAACAGAAGAAAGGGTGGGAGCAGGAAGTGGCACCTCTGTGGTCACACTTTCGTTCTTTTAAAAAGAATATGATGATGGGATGTCCCGGGCGACTCGTGGAGTCTGGCAAGGATGGCCGTGAGTCCCTGCAACGCCATGCGGCCGGGGGAGTCAGGCAGGCTGTGGCGGATAAAAGGCTCACAAGACATAGTAAATAAACATAAGGGTAAACATTTATTACTTAAAAAGAAATAGAAAAACAGAAAGACAGAGATAGACAAATATAAAGACATAAAGACACAGAGACAGAGAAAAACGTGTGCACACGACAGGAGACAACCACACAAGAGAGAGAGAAAGATGGCGAAGGAGGAGGTCAGAAGTGGCTGGGTGGGCGTGGTTTGTTCTTAAAGTGGCAGCAGAAGACTAACACACACAGTCAATGCGAGGAGCTGAACTCAACATCCTTGGGGCCTTCCAGTACAAACTCCCTATGTGGTAGGCCTGGTTCTCACTCCCACCTGAAAGGGCCCCTCTGTTCTTGCAAGGGTGCCACCTCAATAGATATGTAAAAAGGATTCTAATCACTTCGACCCCATTGAATTTCAGTTTCTTGGAATCTACTTATAAAGGGACATTTACATTATCCCATTATTTCTTCACTTGTCTATCAGGAAAGACTTTCTCACATGACTCTAATTACTCACTGGCTTATACAAACCCTCATTGTAGGTAAAGCCCTACTGCAGTGGCATTATGAAAACCAGGAAAAAGAACAGAGTACACATGCAAACAGTCAGAGGCCACTCAAGATTGATGCGGACAAGGAACAGGCAACAGAGAGCTGTTCAGAGAAGCAAACCCTCACCTTTAGATGAAAAAAGCTGGGGGTTGAGAATGGAAAAGATCCCTACCCCGTGCCCCTCAAATCTGGAGGGGAGCCTTATCTCAGAAACTAAGTAGCTAAGTAGAACACAGTAATACAACAAATTGTCCAGTTCTCTCAGAGAAGCTCCAAAATAATATCTGTGTTTATGAAGCTTGAGGGCAGAGGAGCTTGCTAATAAGGAATGCGAGTAAACCCTAGGCCTGAAAATACTCCCAATTGGGGGTGGTGGGGAGAAGAAAAGAAAAATGCACAAACTGTTACCAGCTATGTTCTCATCTAGCCGTTGCAAAAGTACTTTCCAGACTAGCATCTGGTAAGCAAAGCCACTATCCCTCGAGTGGGATTTCAAATAAAAGAGCATTTTCTAATGGCATCAAGACTAATAAGGATCAGTGCTAGTTAAAGGAGGAGAGCTTGCTAAATATACAGAGCTTAGGATCCCACTTATACTGCCTTGATCAACCCTGTATTTTATTTTATTTTTTTAAAGATTTATTTATTTAGTTTACAGTAGTCTGTCTGCATGTATGCCTGCAGTCCAGAAGAGGTCACCAGATTTCATTACAGATGGTTGTGAGCCACTGTGTGGTTGCTGGGAATTGAACTCAGGACCTCTGGAAGAACAGTCAGTGCTCTTAACCTCTGAGCCATTTCTCCAGCCCAATCCTATATTTTAGTAAATGTCCCCAGGTGGTTTATTTGCACCACAGATTTTGTTTGTTTGTTTTTAGGACCCCACTTAGACTGCCTTGACCAAAACCTGTATTTTAGTAATGGTCCCTAGGTGGTTTATTTGCACCATAGGTTTTATTTGTTTGTTTGTTTGTTTGTTTCAAGACAGGGTTTCTCCGTGACTTTGGAGCCTGTACTGGAACAAGCTCTTGTAGACCAGGCTGGCCTCGAACTCACAAAGATCTGCCTGCCTCTGCCTCCCAAGTGCTGAGATCAAAGGAATGCACCACCATCACCTGGTGCACAGTAGGGTTTTTTTTAAAAGCACTGATGAAAAACTATTTCCAAAACAATAAAGCAACCATTTCATTGGGCCAGACGCAGGCCTTGGGAGTGGTTTCACAAAATGTGAGAGCCCTTGCTATGTAAACTGTTTCAGGAGATTTGGGTTCAAGTCTTGGAACTTTAAGAGTGCTCTTTCTGGCAGAAATCAGCTTGTTTAGCATCCTAGGGCTTCTTCCTAGTAGGTGTGTGACCTTCTGGAAGCCGATTCCTCTAAGCTTCACTTTTCTCATTCATAGCTCTCCTTCACTTCTCTATTCAGAGGGATAGCATTAAGTTTCTATGAGGTTCTCAGTGCTTCTAAGAATTCAATGAAGTAGTCCTCTGTTAAGGAATCCATGGTGCTACTGGGGGATTTGATCTAATGAGACCACAAGCTATATACTTGGCCATTATTGATGCTCCTTATGCAGCATGTGAGTTATTTCTAATTTTCCCATGAGCAGCCTCCTTGTGTTACAAAGTCGACCTTTGATGTATTCAATTGTGGGCTTTTCCTATGGTGAACATGACTCTTGGATCATTTCAGGGTTGCTGATCATTTTCTTGAAATATAAAATAAAATGCAACAATAAACACAGCATAAAAGAAAAGTCCTAGGACACACTGCAGTGCATCCAGGACTTGTCCCATCCCACAATACCCTCCCTAATTACAAGGAAAAGGGAAAAATGGGGAATAGTCTAGGGATAAGACTAGTCTAAGCATGCTTAGGGAGAAGAAGCAAATACCCTACCCGGCTTGTCTTACCTTCATGGAGCAGGAGCGCCTGCTCCACACTGCTTTTGGGAGCAGCAAGATCAAGGGCACTTTTGCCCTGCGAGTTTCTGAGTCTCAGGTTAGCCCCGTACTCAGTGAGCAGGTTGATGACCTCCACACTGGACTGCCTCGCTGCAGCATGCAGTGGGGTATCCAGCCACCAGCCGTGGTCAACACTGGCTCCTTAATAGAGCAGATGACCACAATCAATGCTGAGTGTGAATGTAAGACACGTGAGCTATTGTATATAAAAGCATCTTACATGTCATGGCGTATTTAACCAACCTTGGAGACTATGTGACTTAAACCTAGAACCTCAGCAATGCCTGGAAAGACTACTCCCAAACAATTTGGAGAAAAGTGAAGTTAGGGGCTTTCATGTACACATACACACACACTCATACACACACATGTGTGCATGCACACAAATTGTAACAAAAGCAAAATATTTGAAGTTCCTGTTACATAGTTATTTGGGGGACTTTTTGGTAAAAGACAGAAAGAAACTTGTTTAGCATTTATATTATTGGAAACTCAAAAGAGATTTCCAAAATCAATATAAAATAGTAAATGAAGGAATAAAATAAATAAAAAAAACATCTTAGAGATCAAATTTCTCAAGTTCTTCCTATAGCTTACAAGTTTCCATCAGTAGCTAGGTGCCTTAAATCATGAATCAAAAGACAGTTTTAATGTATTCTACTTGTCCCTGGAATGGTCATTTCTTTATATGATATTCTGAAGTGAAAAATGACTGTCTTAGCGGGACAGAGGTGTGTCTGCTACAAATGGCCACTGCATTCTATACTTAGTTTTCCTGTTGGAAAAACATCTTCCTGAGAGTCTCAGCCCATGTACCCTAAGTGAAACCTAATGAATGCAGGGTAAACTGGAATCTAGCCCTCAGCCTATCAGTAGCCTGTATTCCCTTGGCCACCACAATCAATTGATTGGTTCAGAGATGACCATGCATGCAACTCAAAGAGAGCCAATATTCCTTCTTGTTACAGCTCAAGTGTTTGTGACAGCCATATTGCCACCACCAGGGAGAAGCATACTAGCTACATAAGGTCAGCATCAATGGAAGCAGATCTGAGAGATAAATACGTGTTTATCTAGATGAGCTGTGTATCTAGCTTTCAAGTGTCCTATGCAATCAGAATCTTTTCTAACCTGATAAGAATGATGAGATCTCCTGGGTAAACTGGAAGGGGGCGGTATGTAGAGGGGATGGGTATGAAAACATGAAGGAACCAGATGGTCGAGTTGGGGAAGGACCAAGAAGGAGAGCAATGAAAGAGATATCTTGATAGAGGGAGCCATTATAGAGTTAGTGAGAAACCTGATGCTAGAGAAATCCCCAAGAATTCACAAGAATGACCCCACCTAAGTGGTGTGGGAGAATTGTCTGTATTCTGTCAATCATATTTTAATAAAGCGCTGATTGGCCAGGCAGGCAGTATAGGCGGGAAAGCCAGACAGGAGGTAGGGGTGGAACAAAGAGACTGGGAGTATTTGAGGAAGCAGAAAGCTTCCTCTGCAGTTCTGCCCAGACCACCAGAGAGGAAAGATGTAAGCTGCCCAGCTGAGAAAGGTACTGAGCCGTGTGGCTAACGTAGAAAAGGATAATGGGGTAACATAAGTTATAAGAGCTAATAAGTAGCCTGACCTAATGGGCCAATCAGCTTTATAATTTATAGAGATCTCTGTGTGATTGATTTTCTTTGGGGTTTGCCAGCTGTGGGGTACTGGGCGGGATGGAAACCCCAACAAGTCGGCCCCCTCATGTTACACCTAAGACTCTTTGCAATAATGGAGAAGGTGCCTGAACTGGCCTTCCCCTGTAATCAGATTGATGACTATGCTAATTATCACCATAGAACCTTCATCCAGTAACTGATGGAAGCAGATGCAGAGATCCACAGCCAAGCACCAGGCTGAGCCTGGGAATACAAATGAATAGAGGGAGGAGGGGATATATGAGCAAGGGAGGTCAAGATTATGATGGAGAAATCTACAGAGACAGCTGAAGCAATCTCATGAGAACTCACGACCTCTAGACCAACAGCTGTGGAGCCTGCATGGGACCGAACTAGGCCCTCTGCATGTGGGAGGCAGGTGTGTAGCTTGGTCTATCTGAGGGGCCCTGGTAGTGGAACCAGGATTTATCCCTGATACATGAGCTGACTTGTTGGAGCCCATTCCCTTTGGTGGGATGCCTTGCTCAGCCTTCATGTAGTAGGGAGGGGCTTGGTTCTGCCTCAACTTAATTTGGCAGACTTTGTTGACTCCCCATGGGAGGCCTTAACTTTTGGGAGGAGTCAATTGGTGATGGGCTGGCGGGGACGTAAGAGGGGGCAGGAGGAGGGGTGGGAGGGAGAACTGTGGTTGGGATGCAAAATGAATAAAAATAAATAAGCAAACAGAAAAGAATGCTATCTTTAGATTCATTTTTTAAAAAGTCTAGCAGTTTCATCTCACTAAAACTGTTCTAACAATTACCTAGTTCTAGAAGCTTCTTCACACAGTCAACTCTCTCGTAGGTACAGGCTACATACAGAGGAGTTCCCAGCTGAGGAAGCTCTTGGTCAATGTTGACATTATTCGCCAGCAGAATCTCCATGCACTCTCTGTGACCTGGTGAAATATAAATAAACTTACTCGCCCAGCGGTGGTGGTGACTCCTTTAATCCTAGCACTCGGGAGGCAGAGGCAGGCGGATCTCTGTAAGTTTGAGGCCAGCTGGGTCTATGGAATGACTTCCACAAGAGCCAAGGCTTTTACACAGAGAAATGCTGTCTCAAAAAAAAAAAAGCATCACAAAGCCAGAACAAAAAACAGCATATGGGACTCGCTCGTTTCCCCAAATCTCAGTCTCAGATGTATGAATTGGCTTTTTGGAGCCACATTGCTGCGGTGGGCTACCCTGCTCAGCCTCGATAAGAGGGGGTAGTCCTGCCTCAACTTGGTATGGCAGACTCTATTGACTCCTCAAAAAAGGCCTTATCCCCTCTGAGAAGTGAATGGGGAGGAGGTGGGGGCTGGAGAAGGGGAGGGAAGGGAACTGGGATTAGTATGCAAAATAAAAAATAAATTTTTAAATAAAATATGAGAAAAAGAAACTAAAAAAGTAACAAAAAAGATAACCTCACTCAAATAGGGACTTGTTGAATACGTCCAGAATTGCAGGACTGCTTTCCAGAATGGGCTTTTGAAATAACAGAGATTTGGGAGGCTGGAGAGACAGACAGCTTGGCAGTTAAAACTCTTGCTGTTGCTCTTCCATGGGACCTGGGTTCAATTCCCAGCACCACAAGATGGCTCACAACTGTTTGTAACTCCAATCTCTTGAAATGCGTGCTGCACACAGACACACACAGGTAAAATACTTATATGCACAAAATAAATAAATAAAAATCTTAAAAAAGAAGTAACGAAATTTCCCCCATGTGTTAGAAGAAAAACACTTTTTGGGGGGAATCATGGCAGAAATTTGCAAACTAAAACCATGAACATGTTTCCTCTGGGGCAAGTATTTTTTTTCAGTACCCAGGTAACTGCAGTGAAACTCAGGTTCTAAGGAACATAGCTGAACTCACTCGCTAGCATGAAACTACCATTATACAAATGGATGGCTATAAGATGCAGAAGGATAAATGACCCCGTTATTACCTGCCCTTAAACCAAAGTTCAGTCCCATTCCTGATCCATTACTAAGCTCTCGTTCTCTTCTCTATCCACCCCTGTAAGAGAAGCTGTGACTTTATTTGGTTAGACTAGAAGACACGGATGGGGAAGAATCCAACGCTTCAGGTACAGAGTGTATTCAAATGAACTCACAAACTCACAGGCCTGCTCTATGGAGACTTTGCCCAATGACAAGATAAACATGATTAATTTGCAGTATATCAATTAATTCTTTATGAAGGAGTGCTTCTGAGGTACAGATGAAAATTTGATGATCGTTTTACATGCTTCCTCAAAAGTTTTACCACTGAGGTTGCAAGGATGGCTCAGTGGTTAAGGGCACCTGCTGATCTTGTAGAGGACTCGGGTTCAGTTCCTAGCACCCATATGGAGCCTATGCCTCCAGTGCCAGAGAGATACATATATACACACAGGCAAAACACACATAGAGACAAGATTTTTTTAAAAAAAATTAATAGCTACTATCACTAATTAATTTAGCCAACCTTTTCTTTAGAGGTAACATAATCAGAACCAAAACGTGCCTAGTAAACACACGGCAGTTGGTAAATATTTATTTCTGAATAATTCTTATCTCTTTCAGTTTTTTTTGGCAGAACAGAAACTGAGCCTAGTTTGAGTTGAATGTAAACAGCCTTAAGAGTAAGTATATGAGCCCAGATAAGGTGGCAGCCGCATGCAGATGAAGACATTAGGACCAACACTAGACCTTGATTTAGGTAAACTGCAATCAACCCAGCACTGTTGGGTATGCCCTGGAGTGGCTTGCTTACCTCTCTTCACCGCTTCATGGATAGGTGAAGCCAGGTAGACCTCCATCTGCACCTTGGCTCCAAACTCCAATAGCACGCTGACACAGGCTGCACTGCCACTGCAGCAGGCGTTGAAGAGTGGCGTGGCCCCGTGAACTGTCAGTCCATTGACCTAATATTGGGCAGAGCAAAACTCACAGTGAAATTGTCACCAAGTGCGCCCTCCTGTGAACGTGCCTGGAGAAATCCCCTCATGATAATGAGGAAGGACTGAGAGCGTTCCATACCTCTCCAAAAGGACTGGCTGTTAGGAGGTGTGGCCTTGTTGGAGTAGGTGTGGCTTTGTTGGAGCAAGTGTGTCACTGTGGGGGGGGGGGACGGGACGGGATGGGGACGGGACAGGATTTTGAGTTCCCGTTTGCTGAAGCTACTCTCAGTATCAAGGACCACTTCCTGTTGCCTGCAAAGGGTAGAGTTCTCACCTACTCCTGCAGCACCATGTCTGTCTGCATGCCTACATGTCCCACCATGATAATAATGGACTGACTGAATCTCCAAACAGTAACTGAACCGCCCCAATTAAATGTTTCCCTTACAAGAATTGCTGTGGACATGGTGTCTCTTCACAGCAATAGAAACCCTAACTAAAACAAAAGTTGGTACCAGGAACTGGGGTATTAATGTGATAGACCTGACCATGTTTTTGTTTGGAGAAATATGGATGTTGGGAATTTGGATTAGGAATGCAGTGAAATGCTTTAAGTACTGCTTAATTGGCCATACTACTGGGGGCATGGAAGACAGGGGTGCTAAGTTTGATTTGATGAACTGGGGGGCAAGGCTTCCTCAAGATGTTTCAGAGAAGAATTTTAGTATGTTGCCTAGAGATGGTTCTTGTAATAATTTGGTGAAGAATGTGGCTGCTTTTTGCCTTTGTCCGAAGAGTCTGCCTGAGGCTAAAGTGAAGAGATTTGAATTAATGCCATTGGCAGAGGAAATCTCAAAACCTCCTAGAATAGACTCTGCCATGTGGTTGGTTATTAGTGGTAATGCTAATGAAGATCTATAATGAAAAGGAGCAAGAAAATGGAAAATTTGAAGAGGAAAGGAATGGAGTGAAGTGGAATAAAGTGTTCAAGGAGATAAATAGATTAAAAACTGGGAGATGTGACCTCAGGGCAGGATCCCACACAGCTAAATGGCCAACTTGTGAAAAGGAACTAAAGAAAAGTTTGGAACTAGGTCTAGTGGTGCACGGCTTTAAAATCACAGCATTCGGGAGGCAGAGGCTGGCACATCTCTGAGTTTGAGGCCAGCCTGGTCTATAGAGCAAGTTCAAGAACAGTCGAGAGCTTAGGCAGTGAAGGAAAACAGAAAGCTTGTAAAGATATAACGGAATGAGGGGGCAGGTTCCAGGCCCACTAAGCAGCAGAACTTGGCAGCTTAGGCCATGTGGTTCTGGAGTTAAGGATAGAAGAAAGGGTCTCTGGAAATTGCCCCTGCAGCTAAGGAAAGTCACTGAAGCCAGGCATGTGTCAGGGGTGTCCCTGAATGGAGGCCTGGAGAGACCATTGTATGAAGCTGTGAAGTTGAAGCCTGGATTGCCTTGGAAACTCCAAGATGTTAGAGATGACTGAGCCATGGGATACCTGCCAAGGAGAGCTGCCAACAGGGAGAGGAACCAGCCCAAGAAAGAGAAGTGTGTTACTGCCAACAAAGCTGAAAGGAGTTGGAGATCTGAAGAGCGTTTTGACATCAGACATGGAGACACTGAGTTTGGAGCTTGCCCAGCTTGTTTTCAGTCTTGCTTTGGCCCAATATTTTCTCACTGGGCTCCCTTCTCTATGTTTTTAAACAGTAATGTATATCCTATGCCATTGTATGTTGGAAGTATGCGATCTGCTTTTTGATTTTGACTTTACCAAGGATTACAGTTAAGAGATTGTATGAATCTCAGAAGAAACTTTGAACTTTAGACTTTTAACTAAGTTTGAGACTGTTATAGACTGTGGGGAGTTTGGGAGTTGAACTGAATGCATTTCAGCATTCTGATATGATTATGAGTCTTTGGGGGTCAGGAAGTAGAATATGGTGGTTTGAATGAAAATGCCCCCCCAAAGGGAGTGGCACTATTAGGAAATGTGGCCTTGTTGGAGTAGGTGTGGCCTTGTTGGAGGAAGCATATCATGGTGGGGGTGGGCTTTGCGTTCTCCTACGCTGAAGCTACTCTCAGTGTCACAGATCACTTCCTGTTGCCTGTAAGATGTAGAACTCTCAGCTACCTCTCCAGCACCATGTTTTCCTGCACACTGTCATGTCCCACCATTATAATAATGGACTAAATCTCTGAACTGTAAGCAAGCTGCCTCAATTAGATGTTTCCTTTGTAAGAGTTACCGTGGTCATGGTGTCTCCTCATAGCAACAGAAACCCTAACTAAGATAATACTTTTATGAAATTTTAAAACCTCAACTAGATCAAGTGAGTTATTCTATGTGAAATACCTAAAATACTACCTTCTTATCTGATTCGCTCTCATTTTCTCTCTTACTTCATATCAGTGAACATTTTCTGAGTTCTTTACTAGTTGCCAATGTTTTATTTTTTGGTTTTATTTTGTGTGGGAGGTGGGTGGTGGCCTGAATGAGTGGATGTGAACTACATGTGTGCCTAGCGTCTATGGAGATTAGAGAAGAGAGTCATATTTCCTGGAACTGGAGCTACAGATGGTTGTAAACCACCACGTGGTTGCTGGGAGTCAAACCCAGGTCCTCTGGAAGAAGTGCTCTGAACTTCTCTCCAGCTCCTGCCTGCCAATGCTTTGAAAACAAAGGCAAAATAATTACCTCCTCCAAAGTAAGTTAAATTTTATCAAGGGAGAAACACACACAAAAGCTACTTTTGATGAAACAGTAAATTCTCCAGGTAGCTATGGCAGCAAAACAAAGGAAGACATAGATCTGAGAAATGGGAAGTGAAGTGAGCCAGATTTTATGATGAGCTAGATAGGGTGTTGGCAGATGAAAGATGATTCCCAAGCTTAGGAGACTAGGAAGAAATTGTATCAAGTCTCTGAAACTGAAACCTAAAATAAGAAGCCGGTGGAGAAGGAAGAAAGTGACGTGTACATTTTCGGTGGGCTGAGTTTGGGGTACTGATGGGTCAGCTAGCTACTGACTGATCTGCTTTCTCCTACTCCTTTCCTCGTTCTAACGGAACTGTGAAATGATGGGAGGGAGCACTTATCAGCTATCTATGAAAATCATCAGAAGAATATGGTGCCTTATTGTTCTCTTTGTCCCCCCACAAGCATTGTTCTAACAAGGAGAAATATCTACCATTTCCCACTAACTGTAAACTTGTGAGTCCAAGCATAGAACTTGACAAAAGGTCACATAGCCTCACTTGCGTAGTCACCCATGAGCTAGTAAAGCAGTAACCTAGAGACAGGCCACCTGACCGAAATGTGGGAATGACCATGAGGGCACTGGAAAAATCTGTTGTTCAGAAGACTTGCAGACTCACTTCTACACACAGAAACACAACTTGCAACTAGATGAGGAAGAAAATCATCCCTAAGCACTTAACGATTGTATAGCTCGTGAAACAAGGGGTGCACGGACCAGGTCGGACAGTAGAATTAGTAGGAAAACACTATCTGGCAACTAAATACAATGCCATTGAGATTTTCAGAAGCTGTGATAATTTTAAGTAACTCTAACGTTCTCTGGAAAGTTAAGGCATGGGCTAAAAGTAAAGTTTAAGTTATGTTTTGTATGGTAAGTATTCATCGTCAGTTTGGCAGAAGTTAGTATCACTTGGGAGATGTGCCTTCATGCATGCCTGTGGAAGATTTTTAAAAGGCATTATTTAGCCAAGTGGTGGTGGCAGAGGCAGGTGGATCTCTGCGAGTTCAAGGCCAGCCTGGTCTACAAGAGCTAGTTCCAGGACAGGCTCCAATGCCACAGAGAAATCCTGTCTCGAAAATCCCAAGAAAAAGGGCATTATTTAATATTTTTAAAAAGATTTATTTTATTTCACTATACGTGTTTTATGTGTAGAGTGGGGGTGGCAGGGGACACACGTGGGCATAGGTATCCACAGTGGCCAGGAGAGGACATAGAGTCCTCTGGAACTAAAAGTTACAGGCGCAATTAGCCGCTCAATGTGGGTACTAGGAATGAAACCTCTGTTCCTCTGGAAGAGAAGCATACACTCTTAACCACTGAACCACGTCTACAGCCCTGGAATTATCTTGCCCCCTGTACGGGGAACTATTCCCTTGATAGGGGATCCTAGACCTCTTCAGAGTGGAGAAGACAATCTGAGGACTAATCCTCGGCCTTTGGACTTACTATAGCCAGCTGCTTCAATTCCTGGCTCTGCGACTTCCCTGCCAGCCAGAATGGACTATAACCTTGAACTGTGAGCAGAATAAACCCTTTCTCTTTTAAGTTGCCTTTTTCAAGGTGTGTTATCATTGCAAGAGACAAGAAACTAAAACAGGTCACAATGTGTTTTATACCTAAAACTCATTTACTCGTACACCTAAAAGGATGGCTGACTTGGAGCATTGAATTGAGTATCTTTCATTGTTCTGTTGTAATTTGTTATTTATATTTTATAGCAAAATGGTTTTTTTTCTTTTTTTAAATTGATTTTATTGAGCTCTACATTTTTCTCGGCTCCCCTCTCTTCCTCTCCCACCCCCTTCAACCCTCTCCCATGGTCCCCATGCTCCCAATTTACTCAGGAGACCAACAAAATATTTTTTAATGAACCCATCTGGATATTCACACATGGCTTATATAGGCTGAAAAGAGGAAGACGGATAGGGCTCGACCTTCCCATTGCTCAGTGAGTAAGCACTCTAAACGGGAATGCCTCCCCAGATGTTTTAGCCGATGGACCTGGACAGACAAATCCAGTTGTGCTGGGCAGGGCTGGGGCAGTACTCACATGTGCACCATTTTCCAGCAAGGCCTTAGCGCAGGCCACATGACCCCCAAGGCATGCCTCATGGAGAGAGGAGACCCGGTTAATTGTCACAAGATTCACGTTGATTCCCTGCAGTTTGGAAAGAAGACAGTGACGTGCTGCAACCATCACAGCCAAGCAAGAACGGCACTCAATGGGTTTCTGTTTTCCCAAAGTGGGTGAGGACAGTGATACTAGTGCCGTATAGTAAAATAGCGTATATAGCTATAGTAAAATAGCGTAGGAGCCATGACCATGGGATTCTAAACACGGCACTGGGGACTGGAGAGATGGTCCAGAATTTAAGAGCAAGCATGGCTCTTGCAGAGAACCCAAGCTTGGTTCCCAACACCCGCATCAGACTGCTCACTGCTCACAAATGCCTTTAATACCAGCTTCTGGGGGATCTGATGTCTCTGTCTCTGGCTTCCTTGGTTACTGTATTTACACACACACACACACACACATACACACACACACACACACACACACACAGAAAGAGAGAGAGAGAGAGAGAGAGAGAGAGAGAGAGAGAAATAATAAAAATAAATCTTTAAACACAGCATAGAGTCTTAGAGTCTTTGGAATTTATGGCCCAAGCCCCTCTCCTCCAAGAGTCTACTGGGGAAGAAGGAATTTAAACAAAAAAGCAAGAGAAAAAAATTCATACTACAGAAAACATGTTGAAATTTCAGCTGGGAACATGGAATATTCTAAAAGTCTGGTTTAGAGAAGGAGAAAAAAAATCACCAGACGTAGTGGCACATGGCTTTCATCCCAGCACTCAAGCAGAGGCAGGCAGATCTGTCCCATTGGCAAATACCTGATCTGTGTGCCTATTATTATATAATAATAGTATATATAGTATAATACACACAAACACATAGTGCTATAGAAACTTCTCTGGTGAAGGAGTATTGAGAAAAGGAAGTTTAAGGACAGGGCTTCAAAAGTCCTATGCATCTCACAATTGGGGTCTTTCCCTTTTTCCTTTACCCTCCCCATATATGATTTCCCTTTAAGAAATGAATACTTGATATTCGCAGATAATAGAAAAAGAGGAAAGGAAAGAAAAGGAAAAACTGAGAAAGGAGTGGAAAAGAAAACGACTTAAAATAGTCTAGTCCACGAGGTGGCAGCATTGTCCTAGAAGCATAGCTACCGTTCAAAACTTGAAATCTCTGCACCGGAGAAGTGCCGCCAAGAAGGTCATTTGTTCTCAACCTTCCTAGTGCTGTGACCGGCCCTTTAATACAGTTCCTCATGTTGTAGCGACTCTGCTATAAAACTATTGGATTGCTACTTCGCAACTGTAAGTTTGCTACTGTTATGAATAATAATGTAAGTATCTAATATGCAGGATATCTGATAGGAGACCCCGATGAAATAGTCATTTGACCCTCAACCGGGGGTCGCGACCCACAGGTTGAGAACCACTGATCTAGATTGACTCCTCATCGTGCATGAGAAAATAGACGTACAGAAAATGCAAACTGTGTGTAAGACTTGAGGTTCCCCAGCTGTCGGTGACAACATGACAACCCAGAAGGTCCTGCATTAACGCTTTCTTTGCATTTACTCAAGGTGGCTGAATGTTTTACTCACACTTAGCACAGGACCGAAATGTAAAACAAGCTTTTTTTTAGGCCAGCAAGATAGCTCAATGGGTAAAAAGACTTGCCAGACACACAATAAATAAACTTTTCTTTTAAAAAGTGGAGTATAAGCGGCTGGAGAAGCGGCTCCGTGGTTAAAGCACTTGCTGCTCTTCTAGAGAACCAGAGTTCAGTTCCCAGCACCCATGTCAGGTTGCTCACAACAGCCTGGAACTCCAGCTTCAAGGCCTCCAATGCCTCCTTCTGGATTCCAAGGGCACTAAGACACACATGGCATGTGTATACACACACACACACACACACACACACACACACACCACACTAAAAAGAAATCTTAAATAATAGTAGACTATATTTTTGACTAGTGCAAAGAGCAAAGAATTGAGACTGAAGCAAAGTGAAATCCTTCTCTGTAGGGCCCTTACTCACTTAATCACACAACTAAGATAACAAGTTTCAGAGGAGTGGCGATATCATTGCCGGGCCTGCGGGTGCATGACTATAATTCCAGCACTTGGGAGGTCGAGGCATGAAGATTATGAATTTGAGGCCAGCCTCTACTAATTTTGAGACCTGTCCAAACAACATGAGGCTCTGTCTCAAAGAGCAAAGAAACAACAAAAAGGTGATAGAATTTGATGGTTGTTTAAAGTGCTTACATATAAAGAAACAAGGCAGGTGGCAGCAGCCCATGCCTTTATTCCCACACTAGCACTGGGGAGGTACAGGCCAGCCTGGCCTACAGAGTGAGTTCTGTGTAGCCAGGGGGAAATCCTGTCTCAGAAAACAACAATAAACAGACAAACAGGAGCCCTCCATGATAGGTCACTTGTTTAGCACATACAGAACCTGGAGGCCATCCTAAGAAGGCCCTGTGCAGGGGAGGAAAGGCAGTGATACAGAACCACCTAGTGTGTGATGCCCTGAGTTCGGGCAGAAACACAACTTGGGAGGGGGGGAGACTAGATTAGTGACAAGATCAAATACAAAGTCCATCATTGCTAATAGCTCTGTTTTCATTTTGCCTCTATTTGCACTTTAATCCCAGCACTTGGGAGGCAGAGGAAGGCGAATCTCCATGAGTTCGAGGCCAGCCTGGTCTACAGAGCTAGTTCCAGGACAGACTCCAACGCTACAGAGAAACCCTTTCTTGACAAACAAACAAAAAAAACAAACAAACAAAAGAAAAAACAGCATTTCATAATATTTTCAAAATATAAGTGCTGGGGATCAAATGGAAAGGCTTTAAGATGACGTTGTTTTTAAGAAATGGCACAACTGTGAAGCTGGGGATGTAACTGAGTTGGTGAATTGCTTGTCTGGCTGGCACGAAGCCCAGGTTTGATCCTCAGTCCAGCATAAATTGGTGAGGGACATGCTTTGATTGAATTCCAGAACATGGAAAGTGTAAGCAGGAAGGTTAGAAGTTCAAGGTCACCTTGGGCTCCAGCTAGAAAGCTGAGACTAGCCTGGGATACCTGAGACTATGTCTCACCAACAAGTGGCTGTAGAGATGGCTCCACAGGTAAGGGCAATTGTCGCCAAGCCTGATGACCTAAGTTGATCCCCAGTCCCCATAGAGTAGAAGAAGAGAACCATTACCAGTGGTCTGCTAAATTCTCACCATGGCATGCCCCCTCCGTCCCTATACACACACATAAATAATTTTTTGAAAAATAAAGAAATCAATAAAAATAAATTTAAAATCAAAATGTAAAACCGAACAAAAGCAATGAATCACTAAAAGGAGAGGGACACACACAAACTATCACTATCCCAGCTGGCTAAATTTAAAAGAGGAAGCAGTTTCGAATGGTGAGGTGATAGAGGGGCCATAGGAAAGAAAGCACCGTGACTCACTTCCTCGGCTCACATGTTGCATTCAAAACAAAGAAAGCAATTGGAGGGTATACTTTCATTTATTTCATACATCTTTGCTGGGATGTTTGTTCTACGTGTGTGGGATACAGTCAGCAATAAAAATACAGTGCTGTCAATAGCTAAATCTGCCCTAAGATTTATCTGATTACTGACCTATCTCAGAGCCTACTTGAAATGTGCATTGTTGAAATGGGCAGCCTCTCAGTGGTACCCAGTGATGCCCAGTTCCTAACGCCGGCTCGGTTGGGTAATGCTTTCTCTTTGAAATGTGAGCATCAGGGAAAGAAATGATGTCACTTCCAAGACTAGGCTTTAAAGAGCAAAGGGGCTGGGGAGCTGGTTCGGCAGTGAAGGACCCAGGAAGACCCAGGGTTCAGTTCCCAGCATCCATATGGCAGCACAGAACTGTCTGAAACTCTGGGCGCAGAAAATCAGGCGCCCTCTTCTGGCTTCCGAGGGCCCTGCATGCACATAGTCCACAGGCATACATGCAGCTAAAATACCCATACATACGAAATTAAAATAAAGGTTTTTGTAAAATGTGACTTCCTTCTTGGCACCCTCTCTGGAGAAAGTCAGCTGCTACCTCATAACACAGCCCTGTGGTGAAGCCCCTGAGACTGTGTGTGAAAACAGGTCGCCCCTCCCCCTACCATGAATCATCGCATGACCTATCTGCCACTTCCCTGCCTGGAAGTTGCTCCCCAAGCCCTTAGAAACTTCAAGAATCCAAGTGTTTGTTGTTGATTAGCGTCACCATGCTTTGAGGAGATTCATAGCACATCAATAGTAACAAATGCAATCTCAAAAAGCATGAGGTGAGTTAGCGTGACATAAATTTGGGGATCCCCTTCATTGTCCTTTAGAGAGAAACTTCCTGTCAGGAAGCTTTCCCAAAGGGGAAAGGAAGAGAAGCGGGCAGAAAATGAAGCCGCTCTTACAGAAAGCAGAAGCAAGAGGAGCCCGTGGTGATGGGGGCAAGATGAAGACGCCTGGAATGGCAGTCATAGCTTTGGCCAGTGCTAAATACAGAGAGATTCTAAATTAGAGCGACAGCGTGAAGGCTGAGCACAGCTATGGCCAACGCTAATAGAGAGAGATTCTAGATTACAGCGGCAGCACAGAGGACAGAGCTTTACTTACTTGTGCAATTAAAGTTTTAAGAGCCAGCAAGCGTCCCTGGGCTGCAGCGTCGTGGAGTGGCGACCGGTCAGCCCAGCAGTCTGAAACACAAATCGGGTTTCTGGTCAAGGTCAGGAGACTTCTTCCGGCAGCTGTTCATGCTGTCCACCCACTGTGGCTCTTGAGGGAAGAGAAGAACCCAACGAGCACCATGTATAAGAACTTGCTGGATACTCGGCTCCTGCTGCCTTTCCATAGGTGTTTTTTTTTTTTTTTTTAAAACGGAATGCTTTTTTTTTTTTTCTCTCAAATAAACAAAACTAAGGGCTTGGCCCTGGTAACTCTAAGGTCAAATGAAGGACTAAATGAACCAATTAGGGTTTTTTTTTATTTCCCATCATTTCATCTCACCTCCATTTATACCCCCAAAATTCAAAGCCTATGCTTTGCAAACCTGAAGAAATATGAGAAAAGAGACCTGAAATACGGCTCAGTGGAAGAATATTTGGCGAAGTTTTTAGTTAAAAGAAAAAGTGAAGGAAGAAAGGAAGGGAGGGAGGGAGGAAGAAAGGAAAAAAGGAAGGAAGGAAGGAAGATGCTTTCCTGAATTGCTTAAGTAATTTTCTCTGATTCTTTTGATAATAATATCTATGAATTTTAATGTAAAAGACCCTTTTCAGATGATATGATCCCCCAAAATTTACCCTAGAAAGTGGTGCACATGGGGCCAGTAGAGTCAGGTTGCCTGAGCTCAAGCCCTACTTCAACCACTCTCTGCCAAAAGCAGCCATTTGCCATAAGCATTTGAACCTCAGTTTTCTTAGCTCTAAGCCAGAGGTGCAGTAATCTATTTGGCAGGGCTCTCTGAAGGCCAGTCTAGGATAGCCACAGAGTCAGGTGCTCAAGGCCATTTGTGATCGATTAATAAGTAGACATTGCAGGGCAGTTCTCTAAGAGACAGGCTTTCCCTGTTTTATGAGTGTGTTCATTTTTCTGTAATTGTTTCTTTGCCGCTAAGACTGATCTGCTTTGATGGGCGTTTGAGAAGTAACCACATAAGAAAAATCCCAAAGGACAATATTTTGTTTTGGAAACAGACCTGCTCCAGTTTGCAAAATCTGCGCAGTTTTAAAAGTGTGGCTATCCTCTTTCCATACTGAATAGAATGCCATACACTTGGACTTTCTTTAATGCAAAGAGTCTTTCTGGTCAGTGTCTTCTAAGTGATCCCGATGGTGGCCAGGGTACAGGTTTCCCATTGTCCACAAACTTGTTCAAAACAAAATCTCACCATAAATGGAAGTGTGTAAATTTAAAACACTACGAGCCTCGAGGAAACAGTGTTCTCCTCCAGCGGATGAGATTGAAGCCGCAAGCATTTCAAGAAGCCTCCTATCAACATTACAGCCCAGCGCATCTCTCCCATTAGAGGAGTCTGGTTAGAAAACTGGAGGGTGTTACAATGTACTTGACAGGGTTGGAGTGATACTAGGAACAAGTGGTATCAAAATGTGATTTTCATACTATGTAAACATAAAAGTAAATTTAGACAGACAGTATAGTCGCGCCCTGAGAAAATCTAAACCAGGGCTTTTTGAAGGAATAGCTGACCCCAGGCTGGAGGTGTATGTGTGTGTGTGTGTGTGTGTGTGTGTGCGCGCGCGCGCGCGCGCGTGCACATGCACACACATGCATGCACTTGCATGTGTGGTATGGCCTCTAACAGAAATGAAGGAAGGATGAAGAAAGACAGAAGATGTTGAAAAGACAGAGGATGACACAGGAGGGCTTCTTCTAGTCAAATATGGGACCATTTGCCCATCAAAATAAGCATAGAGAATAAGAAAATACATGCTGTCAAAACAGGAACCTGTGAGTCCTTGCTGATATATGTAATACATCAATATGGATAATGTGCTTCTTCCTAAAATACACTAACTGAAAAAACATAGAATAAATAACAAGATCAGGTTCAAATTATCACTATATTAATTATAAAGGGAATGTGCATATTTTATACTAGAAAAAAATGTAGAAATAATCTTGACCAGCCCAGGTTTCAAAGAAAAACATAAGCATTGGTTAAAAAAAAAAAGAAAGAAAAAAAAAAAACAAGGTGGCACCCTGTGCTATGTGATTAAATGCAATGAGCCACAGTGAATGGCATGAGAGGGAACATGGTGTTAAGAATATCCTATCATCCTGTCTGTGCTATTCATGCCCCCAAAGCATAACCTGACTCTTCTAGGAGCAAACCCTGCAGCAGCTCACACCTAGGGACAGTCAATAAATGAATTGGCCTGGAGCCAGTTGCAGAAGAGATAGGGACCTTTTCTAGATGGAAGGTGAGTGTGGAAGGCAAGACATAACATCTGACCCACTCTTTGACCTGGAGTGGGACCCCTTTGCTTGAAGAGATATTATTGGAGCACTTAGTTAAACATGAATGGAGGGCTTTGGCAAGAGACTGGGAATTCTTTGTACTGATCTTGTAACTTTTCTGTTAAAATTAATTCCAGAAAATTATTTTTAACCAAGAGAAAAATAAACAAATAGATAAAAATGGTTTGTCATCTTGTACTCCTGTTATGAGTGTGAAATGCTTTTATAATAAAGAAAAAATAAAAAGAGCTTGTTATAAACAAACATATGTTGTGTTTTATCTCTATTTATCTCTGAGCTGGCCCAAAGCTGGTGAGTGTGACAGTTTACTTAAAAGAGAAGTAGAGAAGTGTTTCTCGTTGTAACACCCTTTTCCCCATCAGGATTTCCAAGGACCAACTAAAACTGAGGTGATGTGTCCTTGGAGAAGAACGGGACCTTTGTAAGATTGGTGGTGTAAGAGAATCAATCAAGTTGGAGCGAAGCATCTCCAGTAAACTTGAATCATGTTGGTTCTTAAGGGCACCCAAATTAACACTTTCAGACAAGTTTCCTCAAGAGCAAAAAATTATACCTTGTAGAAAAGGGGAGCCCAAAGCACTCCATACCAGTAAAAAAAAAAAAAAAAAAAAAAAAAAAGGTAACAATGGACATAAAGGGGGAAATGAACTTTTAAGTCAAATTAACTGATAATTTTTTTATTTGTTTTACATATAGTTTATATCTTGTGGACCTTGCTTGGCTATCCACCATGACAATGAAAAATGAATTTCAAGACATGGCTCATTTAGCATTCTTTTCTGGATCCTCGTTTTCATTTACTGAATGCCGTAGACTTTCATACCATGTCTGAATATAAAAACTAGCTGCAGGTAGTTCAAGTTCCTCTCCGCTCCCTCCAGGTCCAGGAAGGTGAGTATCCAAACAGACTGGATCCCCAAAAATCCAGAATATGCAGAAGTGGGGGGCGTGGGAGGGTGTTGGGAGGAGGGGCGAAAATGCAAACTTTTATATTTTAATAAACTTAAAAAAACTAGCTGCAAATCAATTCTGCTAATGAAATGGTCCGCTCAGAGGACAAAGTCCAGCTGCTGGGCAGAGTATTCCTGAATCTCCTTGAACATCTCCTTGCCTTTCATCTTTAGTCTCCTTCTCGTACATCTCCATCTCAGGCCTTGGCAGTTCTGCTTCAGACATGCCGGGGCATGAACACAGGCCCTCAGGTTTTCAGTCTTTACCCACACCACACCGTTGTTCAGCAGCCTGAGCAACCAACGGAAGCAGCAACTCTTCAGCGTGCCTTTGGCATTCTGTTCTTCTAATGCTAGCTAGTCAGCCCGGGGTGCTTAAGAACCACAGGCTAAGCACTTCTACTCTAGGGGTCAAAATTTTAGAAAAAAAAATTAGACTGCTCCAAAATCCCAAACTTCTGGAGCGCTGACACAACACTGCCACACATAGAAAATTCCACTGCACAAAACCCAGATTCATGTCCCAAAATTATTTTAAATGTTACATGAAATTTCATGAATGAATTTAGTATTTAAGCTAGGGTTTCCCCCACCCAAGATATAAAATTTTCTAAACTCTAGGAGATAAAAAGAATCTGAAGTCTGAAACTTCTTGGTTCCAAGCATTTCATGTAAGGGAGACTCAAGTTGTAGTGGTAACCTGTTCAAGCATAAAAACAAGACTTAAGCATCCATTGACTCCTAAAAGTATTAGCTTAGGATATCAGCATGAACTGGGTTTGTCATTCCTACACTTTGCCTCTGGGCAGGCTCTGATAGTCACTTGCCCTGTGAGAAGCAAGAGCCTTAAGCACATCCATTAGCCAATTCCAGACTTTCACGTAACGTTTCATTATTCATCAGTCCCATTAGACCCAAACCCTAGGCAGTATTTGGATAAAGCACACAAGACTAATGTTGAGTGGAAACAGCCCTAAACAAAGAAGGCAGCACTGTGGGGTTCTGTTTCTGTCACGGAAAGAAGGAATGCACACTCACCTTCAGTGTTAGAAGTCAAAAGCAACCTGAGGAGGGTTGAGGACTGACGGGAAGTGGGCGTGGTAGGAGCCATACTGACAGAAGTCTCTCATGCTATGGGTGCCAGCCCTGTCTGTGTTGACTAAACCCTTGTGGACTTCTCTGTACTCCGGTCTTTAAAATGACTCCACCCCTTCCTAAATTTGCCCTAAGCATCTCTCCCTGCTCCCAGCAGAGAACATGGCTCTCTCTGGTTCACCAAGCAGCTAGAGGTTCAAGGGACAGTATGTTCTTCATGAGCCTCCCACCTCGTTCTTCCAGGTGTCAGTTTCTCTGGTGCTTTGTGGATGAAAAGAACCAAGGGGGACAGGGCAGATGACTCCCAGTTACCTGGGGGAGGCAATCAGTCCCACGCATGGGCCTCAGCATGTCACAGGATAAGCTAGCATTTGGAGTGCTTCTGCTCACTGTTGAAATGAAAAAATAGGGCACCAAAAATTGGTTTTTAAAAAATTGGATTTGGGCCAGGCGATGGTGGTGCGTGCCTTTAATCCCAGCACTTGGGAGGCAGAGGAAGGCGAATCTCTGTGAGTTTGAGGCCAGCCTGGTCTACAAAGCTAGTTCCAGGACAGGTTCCAAAGCTACAGAGAAACCCTGTCTCGAAAAACAAAAACAAACAAACAAAAAAAGGTTTTGGTATACATTGTCCAAACTAAGGAAAGGAAAACAAAACAAACACCTTCCTGATTTCTTCTGACTTTCCCTGTAGCCATCTTAGAACTTAGAGAAAGGATGGGACAACAGCCAGGAAACACGAACAATTAGCTATGGGAAAGCACTGCATGCAATCTCCTCTCGGGAGATGAGCTCTTGCCTGCCTGATGCCATGGTGCCACGGTCACTGTTGGAAGTCTGTCACTGTTAGAGGTGGGGGACTTTCAGGCGTCTTCTGGGTATGTGAGGCCTGCACCACCAGGCCTGCGGCTGCCCTGCTTGTTCACCCACTGACAGCTGCTTACCTCTGCTGGCGTCTCCTTTTCAAGACAGTATCCTTGGGTGCCTCCCTGACTGCCACCCATGATTCTGAGTTCACCTGGGGAAGCCTGTGCTGCCACCGGCCACTGCACCAAGAAAGAGGGAATGGTGGCTGCCTTGGGTTTTTCTTCCTCACGTCTTCTCGGCTTTGCAACCCCATCTCCATGGCCCAGCCCCAGATTGTACAGCACACCAGGACAATTCACTCAGGCAATCGCCTAAGCAGACTTTTTTCCCTGCTCTGCCCCTTGCCTCAAGCCCCATGACCCCCGTGAGAGAAAGGGAGAATGTTGCTTTATGCATAAGAACACCCCAAAATGAATGACAACCATCTTCCATTTTACTAAAAAAAGTCTCGTGGCTAGTAAACATTAGAAATAAGACCAAAAGCCAGGTTTCAGAACTTCAGAAGCTGGGTGGTGGTGGCACATGCCTTTAATCCCAGCACTCGGGAGGCAGAGGCAGGTGGATCTCTGTGAGTCTGAGGCCAGCCTGGTCTACAAGAGCTAGTTCCAGGACAGGCTCCGAAGCAACACAGAGAAACCCTGTCTTGGAAAAAAAAAAGAATTTCAGAAAAGACCTTGTTTTGTCTTTAAGAACAACTGGTCTCTAAATTCTGCCTATTCTGTGCTACATTCACTTGTATTGGGATGCTTTGGCATCTGATTATTCCTGCTGAGAGTGGGAGACAGGCGCAGAGGATGCAGGTGGCTAAGCTGGAAAAGTTCTGGCTTCGCATGCAGGAAGTCCTGGTGCTGTATAAACCAGGGGAGCTGGAGCATGCTGCACTCTAGAGAAGGAGGCCCAAGGAAGGATCAGAAGTTTAAGGTCACCCTCAGCTACAAAGAGAGCTTAAAGCCAGCCTCAGACTGAGACTGTCTTGGGCGGGGGGGGGGGGGAGTTTGAGATGGGCATTGGTGGTGTACACCTGTAATCCCAGTGCTCAGGAAGCTAGCAGATCTCTGGATTCGAGGTCGGCCGGCCTGGTAAGTTCCAAGTCAGCCAGAGCTGCATAGTGGGACCTTGTGAAAAAAAAATGTGCAATAAATTTGCTGTATTCTTAACTAGAAACAAAATTGTTCTCCAGGAAATAACCTTTTCTGTCCCACTATGGATGACTGCCCCCTAAGAAGGACCTGTTAGGGTTTTCACACAACTATGTTCCTAAATCTGCCACAGTCAGAAACAGGTCGCCTTGTTTCATTCTTGTTCCCAACACAGTATCTTGTACCCTCTGTAGCTGCAAATTGGAGCAGACTGTGAAACATTAAGGATTAAAGCTATTTGGCAGATTCAAAATTTTTCCATTGCTTTTAGTAAATATGTAACCAAGCTCTCCAAGTACATGAATACTTAAGTAGGACTCGATTCCTCCCATCTAAGATACTCTATTTTTACTCCCTTGGCACCCTGCCTGGGTCACAGGGCTACAAATACATTATGAAGATAGTTTACAAATACGCTTGCGCCTGATGAGGTGGAGGGAAAATGTTCAAGAGCATTTTCACCTCTTCCCTCATATCTTTCAAACTCTGATCTGTGGCTCTGGTTCTCACAGTCTTTGAATATAATTCATGACAACCCCCCAAATTATCTATTTCATAACAAAATCCATTTAGATGGAATATGTTTAAGTGCCAAGAATTCAAAATAAAAGCCAGTAATTCTTTTACATTTAATTCAAGTACTTTACCTTGTCAAATTTTAATAACAATGTGAGATGATTCTAGAAGATGGCCTGTTTACAATATTTGGTCCACACGGTGTACAAATTTTTGTTCAAGCTTTGAAATCATAGGAAGCAACATCTGTGGCATTTATCAAAGAGAACAAAGTCATGAATCTTATTTCTGAATCACAATAATGATAAGGACTTAGGATTGATGAGATTTTAAGAACACAGGGTTCACTCGGGGTGGGAGACATAATGCAAATTCTGAGATCCCTGAAATGTTATAATATAATGGAGGTAAGTGATTATTCACTGGAACATCCAGTTCTGATAGGAAGATGAAGTCTGGCCAGTGACCTGGATTAAGAAAGCTTCTTTGAACCCATCAGGAGCCAAAGAGCTGAGCTACAGGTGACCTGTGGAGGCAGAACCTCTGCCAGGAACTCGCTGTTCCCACCTGGAAACAGTCAGCAGGCACCTGAGATACGAACCACCCAGAGGACAGTGAGGCCACGGTTGAAGGAAATAAAGAGGGAATTAAATAAGACAAAAGACCACATAGGTGCTGGGACAAAATAAAAAGGAACAAAGGCAAGAATACTGAAGTGGAATGGATAGGAGTCAGGCAGGAGAGGCTGGCCGGTAAAAATCAATCCCTTTGGAGTTTGAATGTAGCAATTGGAAAATGAAGTAATGTTTTAGCCCTTCCCTTAAAATTGCTTTTTTTTCTTTTTAAGAAAAGATTCTATTATTTTACAAGCTCATATCTGCAATTGTAAAATGTTCCAACTTCTACATCCCCCACCCAACTTTATGGCGACAGCTTTGGCAGCAAATGCGGCCAGGATTCACGTTAAGCAATTTCTCCTTTTCGTTTGTGTTTTCATTTGGAGCAAATATGTTTGCATACTAGAAGAACCAAGCAATTTTGCCTTGAGCTGAAAGTCTTGCTAAGTCAATTCACTAACTTACTGAGTAATTATCATGTATTTTCCAAACAAACCTATGTCTGACAAATGAACCGCAAAGATGACTTCTGATTTGAGAATAGCACTGTCACAAATATCTTCCTTTTTTTTTCCAAGTCAGGGTTTCACTAGGGAGCTGTCCTGTAAATCACTCTGTAGACCAGGGTGGCCTCCAACTCGCAGGGATCCACCTGCCTCTGGCTCCTAAGTGCTTTGATTAAAGGTATGCACCACTATTCCTGGCTCACAAAATCCTGCTGCTGCTCTATATAGGTAACTCTAAATAATGACAAAAGAAAAGTAACTGTTAGAATCATGCTAAAAGAAAAAAAAAACATGTTTTGGGTATGTAACTATCAGTTTATTATAGAAAGACATCAAATCTGAGTATACTATCATACATGTGAGAGGTATAGGGCATACAAATACATAGACAAATACATATACAGCACACACACACACACACACACACACACACACACACACACACATATATATGAAATAAGTAAACTAGACTTCCATGCACTAGCTTCACCAGCACCTGCTTTTAACAGTATCTGAAAATGGGCACCATCCCAACAGCCCGAACAACATGGCTGTGCTAGAGAGTAGATGAGTCTCTTCAAGATATTGGAAGCCTGGTTCCAGATTAAAATCTAATGATTAAAATGCACAGCATGCTTACACAGGTTCTGAGTCCTCCAACTCCCTAAGAAGTACACTTCACTAAGGACCACGAAGACAGGAGTCACACACGGGAACAACTGGGGAAAACCTTCTACAGACTCTGCCGGAACTATCCCCATTAGATTGTGCCTAATTTAAGTCACGAGGATGACACATCTAACAAAGCATCAAATGCTAGAAAGTCCCGGGCCAAATTTATAAGTCAAAAATACCTTCCAAGATCACACTTCATTTGAAACGAAAAAGAAGCATTAATTTTTTCCACCAGTTACATACCTCCCTGAAATGTGTGACAAATATAATCCCCAAAAGAGATCTCTTTCCACGGTCCAGGCCTTCTGACACTTCCTTCACCAGCTAGTTGAAGCATTCTGGTGGTTTGCCTTAGAGTTCTTGTGTCTTTATGTAAGACCACTGATGCCTAGCGTTTTCCAAGCTGTCTAGCGCATTGAAATCACAAAGCATGTCTATTTTGAAAGAGAATCCTGGACGCAAATTGAAACAGACACCAACTAAAGCATGATGCAATCCAGGAACCCCCGGGAACACTAAAAATACATACAGCAACTCTGGACCGTGTTTATGAATAAAGCCTGTTCCTCCTCTGTGAAGGGGCAGTCCCAGCAATGAGGGCCTATCTGCTTCAGTTACTTTTGCGCTATCTCACCACAATTAAGGCGAGTTATTTCTGGAAAGGGATGGAGTCTGACCTCTACAAAGCATGGGATGTTTTCTGTTTTAACCAAATCATAGCAGTTTCGTAGTGGGAGGAAACCTCCATTTTGGGTGCTTTCTGTGGAGCCACTAGGGTACAAATGGGTTTAATGAAGCTTTCCATTTGCAAAGGATGCCACAATATGCATACATACAGCATGCCACACTGACTGCTTTTCAATCAAATTAATTGGTCATTTCATGTCCCAAGGAAAAACAGTCTTAGTACAATGTCCTTTCTTGTTAGTTTGACTGAAGTGTTGCAGAAAAATAATGTTATATAAGAATTCTTTTGGTTAGTAAGAAGTCTCTCGAGATAGCCTTTAGAATCCACTATTCTGTTTACTTACATACTAACTGTGACCAGACCCACCAATTTCCAAGAAAATAAAGCTGAAGGTCGTTCAGCAATTGATGCAGACGTCAGTTGCTACTTCAAGTGACAGGATACACTTTCATCTATGCACTCAGCACAAAAGTACAAGGAAAGCTTACCTTCCAGAAACACTCTTCATCTGAATTTTCAAGGAGGAGTTTTGGAGGTGTTGGGAATAAATTCAAGGATTTTTTTTTTACCTGACAGTCCACCACAGATCTCTTCTGCTATCCTAGCTGCCTCTTTTCTGTTTCCTTTGACGACATAGAAATGGGTTAGGAGAGCCAAGAAAACTTTAATTAAAAGCTTGAAGAAAAAAAACGTTGCAAACATTGTCAGAAAAATGTTTTTAAAGCCATAGAAAGCAGGACCATCTTCCATGTTGGCTTCTTCTCGGCATAGGTTCCTAGGGCTGCAAATTTTTACCGAGTTATAATTGGCATCATATGACTTCTATTTTAAGCCTCCTAGCACCCAGTGCTCCTGTTACCAAGAACTCTGTCTGTAGGTTCTAATCTAACACTGATGTGGAGAGTTAGATTAACACTGGGTATGTTGATATTTATGGCAATGTCAAACAACTTCCTTCTAATAAGAAACACTCCGTTCTGGCCTGGAAGGATGGATTTGACTCCCAGCACATGCCCCTCCAGACCATCTGTAACTCCAGTTACAGTGGATCCAGTGGTTTCTTCTGGCCTCTGTAGGTATGAGGCATGCACACAGAACACATATAGACATGGAGGCAAAGCACCCACACATGTAAGATAAATAATTTTAAGAACGTTAAAAATACTTGGTGTTCACACCCAACATTGAATTTGATCAGAACACATTAGATGCATGTATAGAAGTCTCAAACAAGAAAAAAAACTAAGGAATTCCTATCTTCTAAACCCTTATTTTTGGTATAGTAGGATGGAAGATGGGATCGGAAAGATAAAAGGAACTTCTCCATTGCTACAGTAACAAAGCAATACAAGAAAGTGGGAATACAGCATGTTCATCATAGAAAATACAGTTTGTGGGGGTTCTCTGCTTGCTTTTCATGTAGTGGTCTACAAAAGATTAAGTCCAAGTCTAAACTATGACTAGACAAAAAAAAAAGACTCTTGGCGGTAAGGTAATACTAAATACAAGGCCTAGCTTACACGTTTCTCCAGACGAAAGCCGAAGTGTGACTGAAGTGCTGAGATGATTCTGGTGACAGTCCTGACACCCGTGGCAAGGTCCTTCTCGGTCATTCACTTGTTCGGAGCTTCAGAGAGGATGACAACTCCTCCTGGAGGATGTGGCCCATCCTCCATCTTGGAAGTGTGATACCAAAATGAATGAATACCATGCCCTAGCTTCCAGAGGAAGTCATCAGAGATTCCATGAATCAGTACCTTCCTTAGCCGGGCAGGGTTCTCTTATCAGCTGGCCAATACAAGTAAAACACATTTGTTTTTAGTCTCCCTCACTAATAAGTTTCTTCTTTGGTTCTTGTTTATATGAGTTCTTTCTAAATTTCTAAAATCTACTGAAAGTACAAGTGCATTAATCAGGGATTTCTAGAGGAACAGACTTTATAAAACAAACTAATACACACACACACACACACACACACACACACACACACACGAGTGAGAGAAAGAGGTGGGGGGATTTATTAGAACGACTTACAGACTGTGGTCCAGCTAGTCCAACAATGGCTATCTACCAATGGAAGGTCCAAGAATCCAGTGGTTGTTCATCTGACAAGGTTGGAGGTCTCAGCTGGTCTCCAGTAAACACAGGAATCCTGAAGAAGTCGGCTCCAAGGCCAGTGAAAGAATGAACTTGCCAGCAAGAGGGAGGGCAAGTAGGCAAAGAGCCAGTTTCCTTCTTCCATGCCCTTTACATAGGCTGCCAGCAGAAGGTGTGGCCCAGATTACAGGTGGATCTTTCCATCTCAAAGATCCGGATTAGAAGTGGGTTTTCCCACTTCAGATGATTTAAGAAAAAAAATCCCTCAGATAGGCCTAGCCATTTGTCTTTTAGTTAATTCTAGACGGATTCCAGCTGAAAACCAAGGGCAGCCCTCACAGAAAACAAAAGTACAATTTTAAGAGCAGAGTGACTTAAAAAAATATTATATATGTGTATGTGTGTGTGTATGTGTGTGTGTGTGTGTGTGTGTGCGTATTTTGCCTAGATGTATATATGTGCGCCACCGCAGTGCCTGGTGTGTTGAAAGTCAGAAATGAGTGTTGAATCCTCCAACTGTAGCTACTGATGTCTGCATGGACATCTTACCCGCTAAGCCATCTCTCCAGCCCCAAGAGCTCTTTTTAAATAAATGCTTTATGTCAAAAATATGACTTTCTCCAGCAAATTGGAATAACTATCTCTATAGGAACTGATATAGTCAACTTTTCTTTTTTGAGATGGGGTTTCTCTGTGTAACAGCTCTGGACTAGGTTGGTACAGCCCCTCTACCTCTTGAATGCTGGGATAAAAGGCATGCACCACCATGCCCAGCTTAAGGTCTACAAATCTTTTAAAGGCATCTTCTGGGGGACAAGACTTACCTTCCATCTCCCAGCTGATCCCTACTGAGTCATAGCTTAATATATACAATTAATAAAATTAACTTCCCTAAATACTGCAAAATAAAAATTCTATGTAGAATGTTGGTTTGTGTGATTCCGTATTTAAAATCCCAGCCAGAGGCTGAGGAGTTAGTTCAGTTAGTAAAGAACTTGTCTTACATGAGGACCTCAGTTCTATCTCCAGAAACCATGTTTAAAAAAATGCCATGCCGGGGGCTGGAGAGATGGCTCGGAGGTTAAGAGCACTGGCTGCTCTTCCGGAGGTCTTGAATTCAATTCCCAGCAACCCACATGGTGGCTCACAACCATCTGTAATGAGATCTGGCGCCCTCTTCTGGCCTACAGACATACATGGAGGCTGAACAGTGTGTACATAATAAATAAATAAATCTTTTTTTTTAAAAAAAAATGCCATGTCCTTCTACTCCAAACACCGGGGAGGCAGAAACACGCAGATGTCTGGGGTTTGCTTGTCAGCTAGCTTAGTTTGCTTGGTGATTTCCAGCTCAGCAAGAAACTCCTGTCTAAAAAGAGAGAGGAGAGAGAGAGAGAGAGAGAGAGAGAGCGAGAGAGCGAGAGATGGGGAGGGGAGGGGAGGGGAGGGGAGGGGAGGAGTATGGCAGTGGAGTGCCTGATTCCAAACAAGACATCTACATCACCATTCCAAGTTTCAGGGAAGGTTCAAGGAAGAAGAAAGAATGTAAGAGTTGGAGGGTGGGAAGTAAGCTACCAAAAGACATCTTCTGGACATGAGCACTTCTCTCACGACCTCACCACAGTTGTGGTTACCTGTACAAAATGGAGCCCATCAACATTCCAATTCATCGCCAAGGTGGGAGGGGCTCAGAGGATGAACACCCCCAGGAACTATTGACAGTGTATGGTTGCTGGGGGAGGGATGCCGTTTTGTTCAGTGGTGTAGCCACTGATAAGTTGCCTGTGTGCCAATAAATAACCTCCCATCCACACTCTGATAGACGTAGTTAAACTCAGATGGTTATATACACCATGAAAAAGACATGAAAGGAGGAAGACTTGGCATGAAGGCTTTCAGAGGGAAACGAGGGGAAATGATAGAGTAATGAGTAGGGGCATGAAATTAACTGAAACATTTTTAAAATCCCCCTGAATTCTATTTATCAAAGAATCCATAACATAATTAAATATTTTACTCTTGCTTTTTTTTTTTAATGGGGATGCTTATGGAATGATACCAGACATTGTCAACCTCTACACATACATGCACACAAAGATTCACTTGCAGCTGCCCACTTCCAATCCAGTCACAGGATAATCTTATTTTAGATCAAGCCACCTTGGAGCTAGAGAGATGGCTCAAAAGTTAAGAGTACTGGCTGCTCTTGCAGAGAACCTTGCTGTGGGAAGTCCTTCTGTATATGCTTTGCTTTTATTGGTTAATGAATAAAGAATTTGCCTTGGCCAGTGATATGGAAGCATGCGTGCGGGGGGGGGGGGGCTAAACTGAATGCTGGGAGAAAGAAGGCGGAGTAAAGAGAAGCCATGTAGACCAGGCAGAGACAGACGCCTGACAGAACCTTGCTGGTAAGCCACAGCCATGTGGCACTACACAGATTAATAGAAATGGGTTAAATCAAGATGTAAGAGCTGGCCAATAAGAAGCTAGAGCTAATAGGCCAAGCAGTGGTTTAACTCATATAGTTTCGGTGTGGTTATTTTGCGGCTCATAACCATTTACAACTCCAGGTCCAGGAGATCAAACACCTTCTTCTGGCCTCCTTGGGCACCATGTATGTAAGTGCTACACAGACATACATGCAGACAAAAAACACACACACGCACACAGAGAAATTTTAAAATTAAAAAAAAAAAACTTCAAGAGAAGATCAAGCCACCTTCCTTTGTGAGACAAATCTAAG